ATCGTTTTCTGGTTGGGAAGACAGCAGTAGGACTACAAGGCTTACATAAAACTGGAAACAGTTATTAAGATCTCAATTTCAAGAAGAAAAGCATTACAGTTTGATTATGTGTGTTTTTTTTTTTTTTTTAGAAGAGGTCACAAAATACACTATCAGTTTTTGCGAAAATACAGTTTGTGCATTTCTTCATGGACATTAGCTAATGAATGACTCTTTCAGCCAGTGTTTTTAATTTATCAAATAATAGCCAAGCCAATATATTTTAATTGTAATGCCAGTAACAATTAAGACTTTGTAGCCAGGCACTGTGCTTTTCATACATAAATGGCTTCTATTCTAAGAGTTTAAGTGTTAACAGCTAATGATTGCATTCAACAAATATTTAATAACTGTCATAAAGAAGTTTGTATGAAGGGCAACATAAGCTGAAGTTTTCATGGGTGGAAGGAGTCCAGTGTTAATGACAATAGAGGAAAATGGCCTTAAAAGATTTATTTTGAAGATGGAGATAGGATCTGAACATGGAAGGACATTAGTAGATTATGGAGAACTTTAATAACAAATTTTCTAGTTTGGATTTAATCTAATAGGAATTACACACAAACCTGTAGTTTGTATGTCTATAGAATTATATGTTCTTTATCAGACAAATGAACTGAACCTGTTTTTGGAATAGTCTTCAGACAGTCTTAATGTTTAGTAAATAATTTCTCCCTTTTAAAAAATGTACAATGTGGAACTAAAGAAAATATTTCCTTTACATTCTTAAACATAACAGTGCCAATAAAGGTAAATGTGATAGAGTGTAGATAATTTGCAAAATCTTTTCTTCTTCAGTGCTTTAGAAACAAGACCAAAAATAGTAAATAAAAGCCAGCCTGGTAGCTGACAGCAACCCAAGCTGAGGGATTCAGCTCCATGCATACATCTCAAACTAACAAGGAAGAAACTGAAGATAATTGTCTGGCCCTGGTGCCTTCTCGCTCATGCCTCCATCTCTGGACATGGGAAGGGGCCAAGTGACCATTCATTCAGTCCAGAGAATTCCTAACATTGTTAACTGAGGGGCAAGCACTCTAAGGGGGTAGAGCGAATGCCAGGAAGCAGTCAAAGGAAGACTTCTGTTGGGCAGAAGATCCCTCGGGTCTCTGTGGCCCGTCTACAGAGGCAGGGAAAGCTGTCAGCGCCCACCACTTGCTAGCCCTCCAACTCATAGAAAATAATCTGGAAACTCCACCATTCCCATGGAAACAAAGACAGTACAGTGTGCACAATCAGATGAAGTGAATCTGGATGAAACCTCAAGCCCTCCCCTCCCCAGCCCTGAAATATCCTCATACCTGTTTCTTCTGCAGGGGGATTCAGTAGGAATCTGGATTGAAGAAAGTCAAGGCATTGCTAGAGATGGGTAGTGACTGAATGACTAGCCTGGAGCAGCACTGATACAGAACTAGGTGCTTCAGTAAAGTAGGAGCAAGGGCCCTGTGAGGTCATGTGACTACAGCAAAGAGGAGAGTGGAGATAATGCATATAGTCTAAGATGAAGGTAAAGGAGATCTGGAATAGAACAGAGGTGGACGGCACTAAAGGCATCCAACATAGGGATGCTTTGTTGGAAACAAAGCAAAGCTTTCAAGGACGTTAGGAGAAAATTTCCTCAAAGTGATGAGCTGATTCTATTATACCCAACAGGCATACTCTTAAGCAGAAACTGAGAAATAATAATTGATCTTAAAGCTTACTCTGGTTAAAATTTTGAACTCCTTCATTAAGAAGTCCCTCAGGAAGGCACCTAAGTAAAAATAACAAAAATTAAAATTTACCAACAGGAGGTCTCCTGACTGGTCTTTGACTATTCTGTGATGTGAACTCTAATACGGACAATCCCCCACTCACTTTGGTTTGAGTTACAGGGTTTTGGTTTTACGATGGTGCACAAGCCACACCTCCTTTGTAGAGACTGCACTTTGAACTTTGGGCTTTCCTGGGCAGGGATCTGCAGTAAGAGCCCCTCTCGAGGTGCTTGCTGGTTGGTGACAGCTCAGCTCCCTGTCACCCCGTCGTCCAGATACTCTGTAGAGTGCATTGGTCTTTAGCCAGCGTGTTCCGTTGGTTGCACGTATTAAATGAGTATTCAATTTACGGTAGCCTCCATGACTCACTAGTCTCTTATGAGGCAGCTCCATCCCAAGTTCAGGGGCATTGGTGTAATGAAGCCTTAAACTTTGGACGGACAGAAAGTGGAGGCCAAAGGAACATTACCAGGACCCAAACTGTCCTTTTGTTAAAGAAAAAAAATAAATGGAACAAGGGTTTCAAAGATAATGGCAATGAGTGTTTCTTAGAAAAACTGCTTGACATTGATGGGTGAATGACAGATGGCGTGTCAGAGGTAGCAGGTGTTGGTAGTGGCACGGAGACCACCAATCTGTGAGGAAAAGAACGTGTGAACCAAACTTTTATCCCTGTGCAAACTATTCCTGGAGGATAGAAGCTAAAATTCAAGGATCCTAAAAATATCGAGGACTGTGGAAATAAACTGCTTGCAGATGAAATTCTTCCAATAAACAAGTGAATTAAAATGAAGAATTTAGGTGTAAAGTGATTTTGTTAAGAAATCAGTTTCCTTCAATGGAGATATGTCTAAATTATGCTATATGTCTAAATTATGGCTATAGGCTAAAATACAAATCTAAGAAGCCTTGTCAGGATAAAAATGATTGATTAGAGCTAGGCTGTGCGTGGAAGTTACAATGCATTCTCTCCTCTTTCCTCATGAAGTCAGTTTACATTGACTCAAAAATGAAGTGAAGCATCATTAAAAATCCCACATTTTTATCCAATTCCTACACGTGAAGAATTGTTGGAGTTTAGCAATCCCTTTAGTTTTCCACATGTAGCATGCTTTCACCTCAATTAAATAATTTAATCACAACGGCATGTGGATTGCCACCCCATTTTACTATAACATATTTCAGCTTTTAGTCCTTAATCATTTTGCTTTTTGTGCTTGTTTTTCATATAAAACTATTGGAATATAATATTCACAGTGATAACTTCTTTATAGTCATGTTTTGGCTGATTTTTTTCTCCTTTTCTAAAACTGTTATACATTGTTAATTTTAAGAATGTATAACGTCTTTCTTGACAAAGATCCTTTTTCTTAAAAAAAAAAAAACTGGTGACAAAGTGTAAAAAATATTATCAAACATTTCCTATGGTAAAAGCATGAATATTTCTGTCTTAAAGTATCTCCAGCCCTATTCTCAAGTATTTTATCCATTTTTTAACACTTAAATCAGTCTGTGTGTGTGTGTGTGTGTGTATAGCAAAGCTTAAAGTCATTTTATTTTCTGAATTCAGAATCCACTGTGTGCATTTGTTGAAATTAAAATCTGATAATCAGTTGTCTTGCTTCTGTCAATCAAGTCAGAAATTTGGCTGCGTCTGAGATCATACCCTCCTTCCATGCCAACTCTTCAGCCCAGCACAGTGCCACAGATACTGGCAAAGACCTGAGCCTCCAGCATCAGAGAAAACCCAGTGTATTATTACTCCCTGCCCTAACAGTAGCAGGAATAACGATGTAGTACTATTTTTCTGAATTCCGGTTCCCAGCCAGGGATGCTTGGTTGTTGCTAGGCAGTGGGGTGCATTAAAAGGACCTTGTTATTGGGAAGCCCCAGCCTCTTGCATGGGCTGCTGACACATCTGCCTGCCCTGGTGTCCTGAGAGAGACATCATCATCATTATCACTTGGGAATGTCAGGCAAATTGGCTCCAGGGAGAAAGAGATGTCTTTATCTTTACTCTATGGAAAATAAGCAAATGTGTTCTAGCACGAGACACATCTATTTATGCAATTCTGCCTGCCATGCAGACATCCTTGAAAAGACCGTCTGGAACAAGTTAGCTGTTGATGTCTTTTGAAAATGTTTGGATCATGACAGATCCATGGAAAATTATCTCCCAGTAATAGCTAGATGATGCCCATTGCTTAAAGGAAGCTGGTTTCTTTTCTTTGATGGTATTGGCACATCGCTGATGATTACATTTTTAAAACAATGTTCTCTGTGAACTTTGTAGTCAGTAAAAATTTTAAATTGAACTAAAATTCTTAAATTTTTTGCAGTGAATAATTTCTGTAGTGAAGGTAAGACTTGGAAACTGTTCTTTTCTGATGTTTTGTGAAAATTATATGAAATTAGGCTATTGTGGAGATAATGTTCTTGGAAGTACAGAGTCTGCTGTTTTAATGAGGAATACCATTGTGTTCTAGAACCATCAACTGTATCAAGGCCCTGTCAGTGTGAACCACTGCCGTGTTCATTCCCGTGAAATTGTTACCACAGAGGTGTCACTAGAGCAGATCCCCTCTCTAGTAATACATAAGTCTTTATTCATGTTGTTCTTATAGGAGAAACTTGAAGTAAGGAAATTAGAATACTAAGCTATGTGGAATATATGTCTTTTAGGGAACTTTGTGCAATGCGTGTCCCGTTCCTTCTGATCTCGTCCAAGGGTCATTCAAGTCTCCTCCTGTTTCTATGGCCCTAATGTGAGTCTTCTTTCTACCCCTCGTATCGTGATAATTCCTCACTGCCCTCTCTGCTCTAGGTCGCCTAGGGCCTCGTGAGCCCTGTTCTCTCTCTATAACCGGGCAGTTCACGTGCATCCAGGGAGTTGAGCATCTTTCTGTTTCTATCTTCAACATCCTCCCCAAGGAGTTCCTCGGATGACATCATCCCGAACGTTTGCCTGTTCCTGAACAGACTTTGTGTCTCCTCTGCATTTTTCCTATCCGAACCCATTTCCCATGTCATAGTTGATAGAATGATGTTTGTTATGTATGGTCCACGTCCAATGCCTTTTTTGTGGCAGCCTGATGCACATGGCTTTTGTGCCTCTCCTGTAGTAATTACAGGCCTCATAGTGAGAAAGTTGTTTCTGTGTCTGTATGGTCTTCCTAAGTATTTTTCCTCCATATGTTTTCCTTGTAGAATGTGAAAATTGTGTCTGGTGTTCGGAGTCACGGAGGCAGAGATATCCAGCAGATCACCTTACCACAATGCTACAATTTTGTTTGTGTGAATGTAAGTAGTAAACCCAAGGGATTAAGATTGTATGATGGCCGGTGCCACGGCTCAATGGGCTAATCCTCCGCCTGCAGTGCCGGCACACTGGGTTCTAGTCCCGGTCGGGGCGCCGGATTCTGTCCCGGTTGCTCCTCTTCCAGTCCAGCTCTCTGCTGTGGCCCGGGAGGGCAGTGGAGGATGGCCCAAGTCTTTGGGCCTTGCACCCGCATGGGAGACCGGGAGGGGCACCTGGCTCCTGGCTTTGGATCAGCACGGTGCGCCAGTGTGCCGGCCACAGTGGCCATTGGGGGGTGAACCAACGGAAAAAAGGAAGACCTTTCTCTCTGTCTCTCTCTCACTGTCTACTCTGCATGTCAAAAAAGATTGTATGATGTTCTGTACGAATGCAAAGTGGAAGCGAACACATTTCTTTCTTGTTTCTTAAAAAACTGAATATTTTGATAAGTGTTTTATTTAATGGGCACTTTTTATCTTATTGAAATAGGGAAATGACATTTTCTAGCAAGGTAATTTCTATAGTAAGGAGTGGGTAATATTTCTTTAGACATTATGTTCAATAGTGTGGGCTTTTTAAAAAATGATTTATTTATCTGAAAGGCAGAGTTAGACACACACACACACACACAGAGAGAGAGAGAGAGAGAGAGAGAGAGAGAGGAATCTTCCATCCCCTGGTTCATTCCCCAGATGGCTGCAATGGCCAGGGCTGGGGAACTCTTATCAAGGTCTCCCATGTAGTGCGGGGGTCCAAGCACTTGGGCCATCTTCTGCTGCTTTTCCCAGGTAATTAGCAGGGAGCTAGATTGGAAATGGAGCAGCCAGGACACAAACTGGCACCCGTATGGGATGCCAGCATTGTACATAGACGGTTTTACTTGCTGCATTGCATTGCTAGCCCCTCAATTTTTTGTTTTGTATTCTGGTATAAAGTAGATAATAAGACATGGCTTTGAATTAATAAATAGTTCAAACATTAATATATGCATATAAAATTTATGGATATCCTTTAAAGTTGTTTTAAAATTAAAACTCAGACTTGAGAAATATTTTGAATGTTATGTAAAATCTTCTCTGTTTTTCCACTTGACCCAGGTCTTACATCGTTTCAGAACTTCTTTCCACTTCTTTTTCTCGCCCTTTCAGGGTGCGGCCTCAGATTTTCCAGAAACCCAGCAGTTACTGAGTGTGCTGGAGCAGAGCAGTCTTTCCATCTTATATCCGGTTGTTGTCGTCTTGGTAAGTGAATTAATGCAGACTTTTCCCGTAAAGCTGTACAAGTTCCTTCCATGCCACTTGTTTCTGTTCAACAAACATTCTTCCAATTGGGAGTGTCTGTGGGCCCTAGGGCTCACCCTCTCACGTCGCTTCCCTTGTCACTGCCATTGTTTGATCAGACTGACAGGTTTGGGAAATAATTCAACCTAGCCATCAGTGTTGCTTCTTTTCCTTCATGAAAATGCCTCATTTGACTGCATATAACCTGGATATAGCATACTATCAAGATGCTGCAAGAGAACAAATCCTGAAATTAAAAACATTTGAGGAAAAAAAATTCCAATGAAAGAAAATATATTCTTGGGTTGGCCGTCTTCTCAGTTCCATGGAAAGCAAAAGTAAGTGAGCAGCAGATTAAAGAGAATTCCTAGGATGAGCTACGAGAATTTTGGAGGGTTTTTCTGTAGAAGACTAAACCTGTGTGTTTGCTGCAGATTTTACTTGACTGCCCTATTAAATGGTGTTGCAAAGGACAGGACCAGAGAGCAAAGCCAGGCAGGAGCAGGTTTGATAGAAAGTGGCATTTTGCTGTGGGAAGGATGTTTTTTAAAAAGTTATTCGTTATTTTGTTTATCTGAAAGGCAGAGAGAGAGGAAGAGAGCAACAGATCTTGGTTTGTTCTTCAATTCCCATAATAGCGAGGGCTGGGCCAGGCTGAAGCCAGGAGCCTGGAACTTAATCCAGGTCTCCCATGTGGGTTGCAGGGACCCAACTGCTTGAGTTGTCACCTGATGCCTCCCAGGGTGTACATTAGCAGGGAGCTGGAATTGGGATGAGGCACTCCGATATGGGATGTGGTGCCCCAATTGACATCATAACTGCGACACTAATGCTCACCTTGGAAGGGGTTTCAAAGGTTAAAGGTCTAAAGTGCTCAGCAGTTCTAGGTTCCTGATACTCAGAACCGTTCTGCACCGTGCAAACGTGATTCCCGTTAGAGAAGGTAATGAATACGGAGTAGAGATCATAATTGGCGGTGAAAATAAGTAACTGGATTGAGCGATGCAAGTAGGAACAAATTAACATCTGGAGGGGAGGGGAATTTAGTTAATTCCCTGGCCTGCTTATTTGGTTATATGCCCAGCAGACAGTTTGTAGGGTGGCAGCTGATGATGGAATCCCAAGGCCCACATGTGACGATTTTCCCTGAAACACGGAGGCTTTCATAGAGCATTTGGGGAGCGGGATGGGAAGTCCCAGATGCTGGAGGACTCCGAGTGTCTGTAGGACAAAGGTCTGTTCGGAGTTCTGTTTGGCTCTTTGTCGTGCTGTTGCTGAGGAATCTCATTCACTCCATGGTCCCAAGAGTTATGCTGAAGAGGGTGTACAATGGAGTAAGTGCGAACAGGAGGCCTTTGAGCTCAGAATACCCAGGCTCCTTGGCCAAGCGGCATAGCTTTTCTGAGGTTGGGTTTCCTCAGCATAGAAAAGCAGCTGGTGTTACAAGGAAGAAGAGCAGCGAGTGCAGAGCATTGATTGTGGTTTATGGCACCGCGCTGGGCCCCTGGCCGCCATGCAGTGTTCTTTTGTTTATTAGTCTTGCTGCTCTTCTTCTTACGTTGCATGAGATGACTCCGTGTTCGCTTCTGCTCCAGCCTGCTGCCTAGCTGCAGTTATGTTTTCCAGCGTTTTTTCAGATACTTCCACTGGAGCACTTGTGACGACTCCAAGTCCTGGTGTCTGAGCCATCACAAATGCGCATTATCTGTAAATTGGCTCCTTTTCTTAATGGCAATACCTGGCCCCAGGCAATAGGGGCCCTTCATTTGACATCTTCATTTTTGAGTTTTTCTCTGCTGTTCCCTCTCTGCCAAATACACACCAGTGCATGCATGAACCCACACACATGCATACTGTTAGTTTTGAAGCCCTTAGTACTTCTATTCCTTGCTACTCTTGCCTGTCAACCCCAGCCTTTCCAATGTTTTCATCAGCTCTTTTTTTAAAGATTTATTTTATTTATTTGAAAGAGTTACAGAGAGAGGTAGAGACAGAGACAGAGAGAGAGAGAGAGAGAGAGAGAGAGAGGTCTTCCATCCAGTGGTTCCCTCCCCACATGACCGCAATGGCTGGAGCTGCGCCAATCCGAAGCCTGGAGTCAGGAGCTTCTTCTGGGTCTCCCATGTAGGTGCAGAGGCCCAAGGGCATGGGTCATTTTCTACTGCTTTCCAAGGCCATAGCAGAGAGCTGGTTTGGAAGAGGAGCAGCCGGGACAAGAACCGGTGCCCATATGGGATGCCAGCGCTTCAGGCCAGGGCTTTAACCCACTGTGCTACAGCATCGTCACCCCCATCAGCATTTAAATTTAGTTTTCTGTTGACTTCTGTTGGGTTCCATTTTATGTGTGTGCAAACACATGCCAGAATTTCTTGGCTTCTTGGTGCTGTGCATCAGACTAGGAGAAAAGATGGGCAGTCTCCTAGTGGGATGGGAATGTCTTACAGGACTTGTTTGAAAATAGAATTGTAAGTCTAATACCATAAGATGCTGCAGAATGTTCATCTTATACTGGGGCATTGGTGCTCCACAGCCAATAACTGCATACACATTGTATACCCGTTGCATAGGCAGACTCCGTGTGGCAATATTGAAAGTTGTTCTTATCCTCAATATGAAGTGTGTCATTAGGACATATCCAGGGCTGGTGCCATGGCTCAATAGGCTAATCCTCCGCCTGCGGCGCTGGCACCCTGGATTCTAGTCCCGGTCAGGGTGCCGGATTCTGTCCCGGTTGCCCCTCTTCCAGGCCAGCTCTCTGCTGTGGCCCGGGAGTGCAGTGGAGGATGGCCCAAGTGCTTGGGTCCTGTGCGTGCATGGGAGATCAGGAGAGGTACCTGGTTCCTGGCTTCGGATCAGCATGGTGCGCTGGCTGCATTATGCCAGCCGCAACGGCCATTGGAGGGTGAACCAACGGCAAAGGAAGACCTTTCTCTCTGTCTCTCTCTCACTGTCCATTCTGCCTGTCCAAAATAAGTGAATAAATAAAAGGACATATCCAGAATCTGTACCCTTCACACGGAGTGTATTCCTGTTAGGAAGGGTGGGTGGAGACTGGGGGCTTCTCGGAGGAGGGGGCAAGGGGAAGGCCCTGGGTGTTTGAATTGTCCCGTGAGCGATTCTGAATACAGCCGCTCAGGCTTTCTCCTCTCTTCTCCTTAAAACCTCTTGCACCAAATATGACCGAAAGGCCTTTTCACTTTTCCCAGGAATGAAAATTTGGCAGAGCCATTAGCTTTTTCCCAAATAAATAGATATATGAAAAGCACAATGATAATTATAAAGTAAACCACTTAGATATCTTAAGTTTGCACGTTAATAAGAGGGAAACTATGCATATATCCATGTAGTATTTGGGTGCGTAAGTGTGAATACATATGCACACATGCATGCAGATGTGTGTAATTGGAAAGATGTGTATATGGGCAGCTCAAGGGCCAGAGTGGCCGTGCTGCATCCGCCTGGAATTACCTTTTCTGGAAGACCGAGGCAGGAGAATAAGGAACTCCCACAGAGGTGTTTGTTGGTTTTAATAAGGCTTTAAATTCCTTGGCACTTTCAATTCAGAAAAGAATGTTCAAAATAGAGCCTGGTCATTCATTTGGTTCCTTAAACCGGTGGATTTAGTCATCAGAAGATACTTGGCAACATGAAGAGTTCTGTGATTCAGTTATGAGAATGTGTTTGTAAACGTTTCAAGGCCTGTTTTGTTTTGGCCTGAGATGTGGTATTCTGGTCCTTTTTCCCATGCAAGGGTTATCAACTTTCAATTTCAGTCCCCCTGAAGGATGGAGGGCTAAGTAGGTTCTACCATTTGAAAGTTCGTCCTCATAATCTTATGCAGCAGGTTAGTGCTCCTTGTCTCCTGTCATTGATACCTAGGGAGTGGAGACTTAATCCAATTACGGTGTGAAGGGGTGGGGCCTTTGGGGAGTGTCTGGACTGGGTGAGACTGGTAGGGCCTCACCCAGTGAATCAGTAGGAGTGGTTCTATGATAGGAAAGGACAGAGCAATGGCAGCCCGAGCTCCCTGCCTCTTGCCACATGATCCCCTCATCGCCTTGGTTCTTTGCCGGTGAGAACACTGTAACCTAGCTGAACCAGTGGGGCTCACCCGGTCTTGGACTGTGAACTTCCAGAACGGTGAGACAAAAGGAACCTCTTTGTGAAGTTAGCCTGCTTCAGGGACTTTGTTTTAGTAACCAAAAGCTGAGCAATCGGTCACCTGCAAAGTAAAAGTGTGAAGTTTCTCAGCTGACCAACCCATCCAGGGAAGCACATTTGTCGTGTCATCACGCTCGCTCTACAGGACAGATATTTAGAGGACAGTGAAGCTGGGGATCTCTTTAGCTGATGCATTTGACACAAACACTCCTGGGCTAGTATACAAGTTGCCTACATTACCTTTTCTCACGTAGATAGAGAGAAATACTGTGGAACTCCCTGGTGTTTGTCACCCCACGGTCATTTGTAAGGGACATGTAACTTTCAACTTCATCCAGAATAAACATTGCCGGGAGGAGGCAAAGCACTGAGTGAGCCAGCAGGTAATGATTCTGTGTTCTTGGCACATGGGTATTTAGCATAATTGGAATCTACAGAGGTCTTGCTTGCATGACCCACTCCTTCCTGGATTTTGAGAAAAGCAAAATATGTAAGGACATCTTTAATATAGAGAGGTTTATCTAAGATAAACTGGCACAGATAAGAGGCTATTACCTTAACATCCACTTAGAGAAGGAAACAAAATTTCACCATGAGGAGTGACAAAAAAAGAAAAATAAAACACTGGGACTTTCTCTTGGAAAGAACTAAGTTGCTTGTTGAGATTTTTTTTTCCTATTTAAAAATGTTTGTGTTATATTTTAAAAATTACAATATTTTGGGCTGGCACTGCACCTCACTAGGCTAATCCTCTGCCTGTGGCACTGGCACTCCGGGTTCTAGTCCCCGTTGGGGTGCTGGTTCTGTCCTGGTTGCTCCTCTTCCAGTCCAGCTCTCTCTGTGGCCTGGGAAGGCACTGGAGGATGGCCCAAGTGCTTGGGCCCTGCGCCCGCATGGGAGACCAGGAGAGGTACCTGGCTCCTGCCTTCGGATCAGCACAGTGCACCAGCTGCATCAGCCATTGGAGGATGAACCAACGGAAAAGGAAGACCTTTCTCTCTCTCTCTCTCTCTCACTGTCCACTCTGCCTGTCAAAAAAAAAAAAAAAAGAAAAAAAAAAAGAAAAAAAAAAAAAGAAAAAAGAAAGAAAGAAATGAATGATTAGAGGGGCCGCGCTGTGGCATAGTGGGTTAATGCCTTGGCCTGAAGCGCTGGCATCCCATGTGGGCGCTGGTTCTAGTCCCAGCTACTCCTCTTCCGATCCAGCTCTCTGCTGCAGCCTGAGATAGCAGTAGAAGATGGCCCAAGTGCTTGGGCCCCTGTACCCATGTGGGAGACCTGGAGGAGGCTCCTGGATCCTGGCTTTGGATTGGCGTTGCTCTGGCCGTTGCAGCCATCTGGGGAGTGAACCAGCAGATGGAAGACCTCTCTCTCTGTCTCTACCTCTCTCTGTAACTCTGCCTTTCAAATAAATAAAATAAATCTTTAAAAAAAAAAAGGAATGAATGATTAGAGAGCCATTTTTCTTTTCTAGAGATGGAGAACAAATGATTTCAGGAGGCAAAACTAACTAGCTTGTTTTCTAGCAAAGACAATGTAAAACCTGGTGTATACCCCTCCAAGATACCTCCATGGTCCAACAAATTGAATAAGGATTCTAATTTATTAGGTTCTGGCAAAGTTTCTACAAAATACCCCCGGTACTTACCACATAAAGAATTAGACAATATAATTTATAGTTTATTTTTTTTTTGATTATGTGGCTGATTTATTTGATAACCAGATAAAAGTTTAATGGCTAAAAGTGGGAAGAAATCTATGATAAATCTAAGTAAAAGTTCAAAATGGAGAAGAGAAGTAAGCTCTTTGATTTTACTTGGTAAAATTTTTGTCAGTTTTCCACAGCAAATAATTTTGCTGTAATTGTCTGGGTAATGAGATCAGAGCTGTGTGTCTCTCTGGCTATGTTGACAATGATTTCACTGGTACATTATGAAAGACAGGAATCTCTTCAAGAGTTTACTTTAGCACATAAATTACTAAGTGGAATTCTAATACTTGGAAAATACAAACCTTCAAAAGCACCTAATTTAGTTCTAGTTACTAGGAGGTAGTTTATTGACATAACAGATGAGAATATATGATCTTTAAAACACTTAAAAATGTTTAATATTTGAACATGTCAGCAAATAAAAAAATTAGAAAACCACCGTCCATTGACACTTGATACTTGCACATCTGGGGAACCTGTCCCAGGGATGTAAATTGCTTCCAGAAGTTTCTACAGCTCACCAAGGCAGAGCCAGGAACAGAGTCAAACCAATGTGCAATATTTCATCTACACTTGCTACTTTTATGCTCTCATGAATGTGTTAAATAATAAAGTGGAAAAAGATTAAAAATATACCTATCCACACAGGGATGTATTTAGTGGTCTTTCCTAATAAAGACCAAATGACAGTTGGAAATACAAAGTGACTCTCTCTTTGAAGTACTAATGGCTGCTTATTTTAGTTTCCCAGGGTATTGAGTCTTTACTGAATTTAAGTTGTAAAAATCTATGGTTCTATGAAATTTGTTACCGGGTCAAATATGTATCTTGTCACCTTTTACTTAATTGCTCCTTCTATACATTTCACTCTGTTAACCCTGTTATTACTAGGCGAAGAAAATGTGTTTTCAAGGCAGACATTCTTAGAAAGGCCAGAAAAGAGAGCTGGCTATCCCAGTCCTCATTGCCACCATATCGAGTGTACTTTTCACAGTCTGTGCATTTCAGGTCCCTGGGTTATTTGTCTTATTTTATAAAGGAGTGCTTCTGTGTATCAGTTTAATAGATGACAGTTGCCCTCAAGAGCAGGTCCAAATCCCTTTTCCACTCTAGACCCAACCTTATTATTTGCACAGCCTGAGGGATACTTTTAGTTTTTTCCTTCAGACACTTATAATAACTTTATTGCCTGTTGAATTTTTATGCTTTCACTTAGGATATATTAAAGTTTTCTCTCGCATGACTTGAATGCTACTTCAGCAGCAGAAATAAAATCAATTGTGCAAATTCTTCAAATTTTTTTCCCTTCTCTGCTGTTAATACTTGTACAGTAAGTCTCAGGTATTTCCTGCCTAAATCAATAATAAAACCTGAATAAATACCAGTTAAAAATACCTTCAGAACCCCTTTCCAACTGCGGTCATGAAGGAATTCATTACTAACACAAAGAATGAGGAATGATGAAATCGTTCCTGTAGGAGGCGTTGAATAGAAGGAATTGACTGTGTTTTTGTAGGTTTTAGGAAATCTTTGCTTATGGCTAACTGGTTAATGGAAAGTTTGTGTTGTGGGACACAGGAACTCCCTGAGATGAATTGTGATGGACATGGAACTGGTGCTGTATACAGAACTGATCCTCCCAGGACACTCCTTCCTGGTAGTCATTCTCTTGATGAATAAAGGCTGTTTGTTTTCAGATAGAATGGTGTTCTTCTGGCACAGGCAAGTGAAATGAATTCAACAACATTTACCAAATTTCATGAATGAATTATTCTTTAGTATAGGGCTTGGAATCACTATTTGTTTCACATTCTGAGCAGTTTATTCAAGTTGGTCAGATGAGCAAAGTTGCTCGTGAACTTCTTTGTCAACACTATACCAGTAAGTTGGTTTATAAAACAATGTGAAATGCACGAAGGGAAAAATAAATGAAACTAGGCATCTTTGTTAGCTTACATTAATTTCAGTCCTAGGTAAGGAGTTGAACATTTGATTTTGCTATTTAGTTTTCCAAAAACATGTCACAGAATTTATCTCACTATATTTTTGCACTACTGAATTCAATTTGAATATTGTTAGGTGGCCTTTGAAATAATTCAGTCACCCTCCTTCTTTACAAAGATGGAACTAAATACATCTTCAATATATTATATTATTTTAAAGTTACATGCTATATACAGATAAGAAATTAATATAGTATAAATGAATAATAATACAGATACATTATATTTTGCAAATTAATTAATTAATAATTAAACCTGAATTTATTTCCCGTATTTAAAAGGGCTTTATTTCATGGAGAAAAGAGATTATTTGGGAAACTTACATAGTAAAGATACCAAATCTGGAATTAGAATTCAAGATACAAATACTAACTCTACAAATAACAAGTGATTTTTAAAGAATTATTTATTTGAAAGGTATAGAGAGACAGACTGGAAGACAGAAATCTCTCATCTACTGGTTCACTTACCAAATGCCTGCAACAGCTTGGGCCAGGCCAGGAACTCAATCTGGGTGTCCTACATGGCTTGGGGACCAAAGTACTTGAGCTGTCATGTGCTGCCTTCTGGGAAAGTGGGGCAGCCAGGACTTGAACCCAGGCACTCTGTTCATGAGATCCAAGCTTCCCAAGTGGTTACTTAATCATTACACCAAATGCCAATCCCTACAAATAGTTAAGTGTCTTTTGACCTGTTCAGGTTACTAAATGTCTAGGAAATGTAGTCCAGAAACTTTGTTCATAATCAGAGTGAGATGCTCTCGATGGCATCGGAGAGGATTCTCTTTCCACAAATATTTTGTATGCTAGGGAATGATGGGGCACTGCTTTAGTTTAATATGATTCGTAGTACATGGTTCCTATGTATAGATTAAGCAGGGCCATTCAGATTTTAACAGTCGTGCTAATCATAAATCAGGTGGGATGGTACTTCTTTCAAGTAATTTTTTTTAAAAAGATTTATTTATTTATTTGAGAGGCAGAGGTACAGACAGAGAGAGAGGTCTTCTATCTGCTGGTTCACTCCCCAGATGGCTGTAATGGCTGGAGCTGAGCCAACCTAAAGCCAGGAGCCGGGAACTTCTTCCAGATCTCCTATGTGAGTACAGGGGCCCAAGCACTTGAGCCACCTTCTGCTGCTTTCCCAGGCCATTAGCAGAGAGCCGGATTAGAAGAAGAGCAGCTGGGACTCGAACTAGTGCCCCTATGGGATGCCGGTGCCACAGGCAGAGGTTTAACCTATTATGTCACAGTCACCAGCCCCTCATGTAATGATTGAGACCTTCTATTCTTTGATTGTTAACAAGAGTCATGGGTTATTTTAAGCCTTTCTCTTATGTTAGTCCCGTTCCAATGTATTTTTTAAAGATTTATTTATTTATTTACTTTGAAATTCAAAATTGCACAGAGAGAAGGAGATGCAGAGAGAGACAGGGAGATCTTCCATCTGCTGATTCACTCCCCAACTGGCCACAGCTGCCAGAGCTGCACTGATCCGAAGCCAGGAGCCAGGAGCTTCCTCTGGGTCTTCCCATGTGGGTGCAGGGGCCCAAGCACTTTGGCCATCTTCTACTGCTTTCTCAGGCCACAGCAGAAAGCTGGATCGGAAGTTGAGCTGGGTCTCGAACCGGTGCCCATATGGGATGCTGGCACTGCAGGCTATGGCTTTACCCACTACACCCCTGTGCTGGCCACTTTTTTTTTTTTTTTTAACTTTTCAAACTCACTTAGAGACAGAGAGGCAGGTAGAAAGATAGACAGAGTGCCCTTCTGCTGGTCCATTCCCCAGATGCCAGCAATAGCCAGGGCTGGGCTGGCTGGAAGCCAGGAACTAGGAACTCAGTCCAGCTTTCCCACCTGAATGGTACAGACCTGATTACTTGAACTACCACTGCTGCCTCCCAAGATCTGGATTTGCAAGGAAGCTGGAGTCAGGAGCTAAAGCCAGGAATTGACCTCAGGTACTCCAGTGTGTGATGTCAGCCTCTTAACCAGTAAGCCCAATGCCTACCCTTCCCCCTCCCCCACCCCCACCCAGGACTATTTTGAACATATTTTCTACATTTCTCATTAGTAGGTACCAGTAAATTAAGCATCCCAGCATGTAATTTCAGAATCTCATATAATTAAACCTCTGGTGCTTAAAGAATTCGATTTTCTACTTTTCAAAAGCATCAGACAGAAGCCTGCTGCAAGCAGAGTTCAAACCAAAGAATGTTTTTTTATCATGAAGTTTTTTGTTCTGATTCCACTACATTTCTATACTGGTAAAAGAATGATTCAAGCTTTCCAGAACACTGCAAAAGTAATCTCTTTCTAGCTGTAGATTTTTATCCTAAGGGAGCAGCACTGAGACTTACTAATATTCTTACCATCTTCCTGCCTGCTAATGAGTCAACCCATAGAATATGGTTTTTTCCCTATTTTTTTTCAGAACATGAAGTATTAGTACAGAAAATATTTCATAAAAAAGCATGATCCATCACTCAGACACTACGTAAGAGTTGGCAAAGTCATTGTATTATAAAAGATATATTTTTTAAATTGCATATATGCCTGGAATTCTGTGTGATATTAAACGTCATGTATTAAGGAAGCCATAGAGGTGTCTAATGTGTCTTTTCAAATCAGCTTTAGGATAGCAGCTTCTGCATCAACACACACACACACACACACACACAAACAGCAAGCTTTTGCACACGAATAAAATCTTCCCACTTGTACTCTGCCAACAAGTTTGAGATACTCAACTGCCTGTTCAACCTTGAGAAACAAGAAGATTCTCATCCAGTGTTGCTCTTACTGTTACTCATCTGCTTCGGGAGACAAAACTGGAGATTATACTTACTTCCTCTCTCTCATTTGACCAAACACCAGTTTTCCATGCCTGAGTTTTTTAACTGTATCTTGATTCCACATCTGCTCATTCCCTCTACAACTCCTTGACTTAGTCAGTTACCTCCTTAACTGAGTATCTGAGAAGCAACACAAGTTGATTTCTCCCAGTTCTGGGGCCTGGGTGTCTCAGGTCAGGGTGCCAGGATGGTTGGGTTCTGTTGAGGGTCCTTTCCAGGATGTCAACTTCCATCTTCCTGTGGTATCCTTTAGGTGGCAAAAAGACAACAGGCTACCTCTCCAGGCTCTTGTTATAAAGGCACTAGTCCCATTCACAAGGGCTCCATATTCATGACCTAAATACCTCTTGGAGGTTCTACCTCCTAATACCAATACTGCTGGGATCAGGATGTCAGCCTACAGATCTTGGGTCATTAACACTCCCTTGTTCTTAGCCACCACAACTACTTGGACTGCTGCACTGCAGTGATGATCTCTGAACTAAACCCAAAGCACCAGGAAATCCGTCACTTAATCTGTTCCTCCTGCACTGCTTCCAGAATGTGTGCAATGCTGACCACATCGCTTGCTACTGGGCAAGGCTGCTCCATGATGTCCAACTGGAGAAGCCCCAGCTTGACCTCAGGCTGGACTGGTCGGCAGCCTCAGCCTTGACCAAGGTCTGGTAGCTTCTGTTTCAGGCTCACCCCTGGCTCTTTGCTGTTCTGACTACTCTCTGTGCTCTTCCATCTAGGGGAAGAAGCTGTTCCTCCCACATCGCCAAGCAGGACCCCATCAGTTTCCAGATCTCAGTTTCCCCTCACATCCTGGAGGAGAACTGTCCAGGCTAATTTGCCTCTTCCTCTGGCTGAGGTTCTGAAGCTTCAGGGAGACAGACCAGAGTTCAGTGATGTCTCTGCCTCTGGAGCACTTCCCCTGCCTAACGCGGGCACTTGATTAAGCTCTTAGCACTCTCATTTTAGGAAATAAAAATAGACAAATAAAGCTATTTCCTTAACTGAGTAAAGTAATCTGAATAAATCTAAGAATAATTAGCTTATTACAAACACTTCAGTTAAGTGAAGTTTCATGTGGGACAGAATGCTTGTCCCATGGGTGTTTAATTAATAGTTTCTGAGTGTACATCAAACAGTCTATTAGGTAGTAGAGAGAATGGTATGACAAGACTGGTTAAAATCACCTAAGTGTCTTCTTGGAATATTCCGAGTATTTCCTTTGGAGAGAGTCTCTTGGGAGAGCACTATCTGTCTTCCACCTTCATGGGTTTGTGGTAGTGACTGACTAATGAGCTGTTGGCTCCACCAGCAAGAATCCAACTGAGTTCCTGGTCTCTGGAGGTGGAACTCCAATGCACCTATAATTCTCAGAACCCTCCCAATGAATGTGGCCTGCAAGTGCTTCCTTTTAGGGTGATGGTGTCAACATCAGCAATAGGAGACGCTTGTTGAATGCTTGACAAAATGAGTCACCGTCCTTTTAAAGTAAATGATCTCATTTAATCCTCAGAGCAATCCTGGGAGTTGATTATCATAGACACAGTTATCCCCAGTTTAAAAATAAGCAAGTTCTCATTTCACTCTGCCATGTAACTGCTATTGTTATTGTCTGTGCACGTCCTTTTTGATCAATGGAAACCTATGTAGCTGGAGGAGAAAGGATCTTAGGAAATCATTTAGTAGAATACTCTCATTTTACAAGTCCTTTCTTTGCCTGGGTGTGAGATAATTTCTTTAATTAGAAGTGAGAAAATTTTGCATATAGAGGGCCAGAGAGTAAACATTTTAGATTCTGTGAATAATATAGTCTTTGTTACTATGACTTAACTGTACAGTTGTGCAGCCAAAGTAGCCGCAGGCTTATATGTAGAAGAATGAATGCGGCTGTATTCCAATAAAACTTTATTGACAAAATAGGCAGCAGGCCAGATTTGGTCCATGGGTAATATTTCGCTGATCTTGGTTTAAATTTTCAACACTAAACAGCCTTTGTACCCATACCTAAAATGCAAAGGAACTTCAAAAGTTCATGTAAAATGCAATTAATAGATTTATTTGGGGGGATGGAAAAACGTTGCAATCCAGGCATGGTGTTAAGTAACATGTGTTTCCCATGAAGTTTTGTTTTTTCTTTTAAGATTTGTTTGTTTATCTGAAAGAGTTACACAGAGAGGAAGAGAGGCAGAGAGAGAAAGAGAGGTCTTCTATCCACTAGTCCACTCCTCAATTGGCCACAACTGCTGGAGCTGTGTTGATCTGAAGGCAGGAGCCAGGAGCTTCTTCCAGGTCTCCCACACGGTTGCAGTGGCCCAAGCACTTGTGCCATCTTCTGCTGCTTTCTCAGGCCATAGCAGAGAGCTGGATCAGAAGTGGAGCAGCCGGGACTAGAACAGGTACCCATATGGGATGCAGGAACTGCAGGATTTACCTGCTGCACCACAGTGCCGGCCCCGCCCCATGAAGTTTCTGAAGACCCCTTGGATGCATGGATTGCAATTTTTTGGACCAAAATAAATTTATATTTTATCTTCCTTTCTTCATGAACTTCTGGAAGTATTCTTGCACCGGTTAGACATTTCCTAAATAGACTTATGCTGTCTGCATCATCTCATTGCATGATTTAAGGTATTAACCATAATGTCTGCTTCGCTTTAATTTCTAATCTTTGTGATTCCTCACCGTTGTGGCAGAAATATTCAAAGGTTTGCAGTTTAAAATCTTGAATTCTGCTTCCCTCCAAGAATTGTCCACCCATCTAAACTCTATTTTAGGTTTGACATCACTATAGGTACCATCAGAGTCTTTACTGATTGGAACTGTGTCAAATAGCTGAAACCTTCCACAAGCTCACATCCCCTATGGACCTTGCCTGGTGAACAGTTTGCCCTCTGTTAACACCATACTTCCTGTACTTCTCCACATGCACCATGTTACGGGACATATCTGTATTTGTACCCATGTGGTTTTCTACCTTGTTCGATTTTGCCATTGTTCTGTTGCCTGATTCTTCAAATCTGAGGCATGATGAGACCCCTTGGGGTCTTTCCCTAATATTTTTGTGCATGTGGTTCTTTCCCACTTCCAAACTTAGCATGTGTAAAGCTCAGAAATGCCTTCTGACTTGACCTTCAGAGCTCTGTCGCCTCCCACCCTGTCCCAGTCTAGGGCTGCTCAGTGTTGAGTGGTGACTTGCAGAAATGAAGGAGGTAGGGTGTGAGGAAATAAAACAGAAACTGTAACACAATGAGTGGGTTCATTCTGTGAATGACACTAGTACTGCTCTTTCTGAGTTCCTTTGGCATGACTTCCCATGTACAAATTTAGACTGTATGAATGTTGCTGTCTTGATTTTGTTAGCCTCCTTTCTATTGTATTTTTTTTTTTAATTTCTTTTTATTTGGAGGACAGAGTCAGAGAGAGAGAGAGAGAAAGGTATCTTCCATCCTCTAGCTTATTCCCCAAATACACACAACAGCCAGGGCTCATTAGGCTGAAGCTAAGAGCCGGGAACTCCATGCAGGAAATCCATGGGTGGCAGGGACCCAAAGGTGTCCATTAGCAAGAAGCTGGATTAGAAGTGTAGTAGCCGAGCCTTGAAGGAGATACTCATATAGAATACGGACATCCCAAGTGACAACTTAACTACTGGATCAAATTCTCACTCCAAGTAGACTTCAATTTTAAAATTTTACATTTTTCATTTTAAAATCATAATTGCCTAGTTTACAGATAACTGTTTTTAGTTTTTGCAAAGTATGTATATTTTTAAAAGGTTTATATATTTATTTGAAAGGCATAAAGACAGAGAGGGAGACACAAAGAGATCTTCCATCCACTGGTTTACTCCCCATGTCACTGAAGCCGGGGGCCAGGAATTCCATTGTTGTCTCCCACATGTGTGGCAGGAGGCCAAGGACTTGAGCCATCATCTCCTGCCTTCCCAGGTGTGTTAGCAGGAAGCTGAATCAGAAGCAGAGTAGGTGGTACTTGAACCACGCATTCTAGTATAGTATGTCCCAAGCAGGGACTTAACCACTGCACCAAATACCTACACTAAGTGTAGGTCAGTTTTTGAATTTTCCTTTTTTTTTTTTTGCTTTTTGGTAAGATTTTTTTCATTTTAAAATCATAATTGTCTAGCTTAATGATACCTGTTTTTTGTTTTATGAAACATACCTTATGGATTGCTTGTGTCTTATTTTTAATATTTTCTGTATGTGCTCTAAAAACATAGCATTAATTTTTTAAGTGTTTCTCATTCCTGAATGGGACTTTTTTTGTCCCCAAACTGGAAATTAGAGAATGATTCTCAAACATTTTTTGGAGGAAGCTCCTTTATTATTTCTTCAAGTTAAATTTCTAAGTGGTATACTGACTGCTATTTTTAGCAAACAAAATATTATACTTATGAGCACTAATGGTCCTTCTTAACTAAAATTTTAACACTTATGTATATGTTTATGTATATGTTTACAATTAAATATTTTGATGAAGACAAAAGATTAAAATCAAAGCTGGGGCTGGTGCTATGGTGTAGTAGGTAAAGCTGCCACCTGCAGTGCTGGCATCCCACATGGGTGCTGGTTCAAGACCTAGCTACTCCACTTCCAATCCAGCTCTCTGCTATAGCCTGGGAAAGCAGTAGAAGATGGTCCAAGTCCTTGGGCCCCTGCACCCGCATGGGGAGACCTGGAGGAAGCTCCTGGCTCCTGGCTTCGGATTGGTGCAGCTCCAGCCGTTGTGGCCAATTGTGGAGTGAACCAGTGGATGGAAGACCTCTCTCTCTCTCTCTGCCTCTCCTCTCTCTGTTTAACTCTGACTTTCAAATAAATAAATAAATAATCTTTTTTAAAAAAATAAATCAAAGTTACAGAATAGTAGTTGAATTTTCGTTTCTGTTAATTTCTGTATTTTATTTGGATTATATATTAGCCTGATTGATCTGTTGGATGTTAATAAGATCAGTGAAGGAGGATTTTTGCTTGTGATTTTCTTCAGTTAAATGGGTCCAGAAGCTCGCAAATGAGGAACGTGTGTGCCCTTGTCACAAATTGGAAGTCAAACAAAACTTATATATATATTTTTTGACAGGTAGCAGTGAGAAAGAGAGAGAGAGACAGAGAGAAAGGTCTTCCTTTTCCGTTGGTTCACCCCCCAAATGGCCGCTACGGCTGGCGCACTGTACCGATCTGAAGCCAGGAGCCAGGTGCCTCTCCTGGTCTCCCATGTGGGTGCAGGGCCTAAGCACTTGGGCCATCCTCCACTGCCTTCCTGGGCCACAGCAGAGAGCTGGACTGGAAGAGGAGCAGCCGGGACAGAACCGGCGCCCTGACCAGGACTAGAATCCGGAGTGCCGGTGCCACAGGCAGAAGATTAGCCTAGTGAGCTGCTGCGCCAGCCAACAAAACGTAATTTGTAATATAAAAGTTTACAGGATTTCAGGATAGTGTGACATTTGGTGCATTGATTTATTGTTGCTTAGCTTCCTGTTGTGACAGCTGTGGCCAGGTTCAGGAGCTGAGCTGCGGCTCTGCCCCCACGGGAACTCAGTGGAGTTGGGCGCCACACTGTGATGGTGGCATCCTCGGACTTTTTTGTGCACACACAGAGTGCTCTTGAGTTATAAACCAAAAAACAGCATTTTTCAACCTATGTTTTGCAGTTTTTCAACTCTAGGTGTGGAATTCAGGTCCGTTTTGAATCTTATGTTTCTCCACCTATCTTTTGAGTACATGGGAATCAGTTACAACAAGAGTTTTAATGTCCTTTCCTGCTGATTCTAACATCTGCAGTAGATCATGGTCAAGTGTGAAGTATGCATCTCCTCTTCATGGGTGATAATTCCCTCCTCTCGCTGCCCGGGCACTGTTTTATCTGTGTGTGCTTAAAGGGTTTGGATAGGTAGATTTAACATTTCATCCAATTTGGAATGGTTCCAGCTTTATATTTTTAGATTTTTTCTTTCTGTTTTCTTCCCACCTCATTTAGGAAGTCCAGTGACCTGTATGTCATGGTGTTTGAAACTGATCGTTGATGATTTTTTTTTTTTTCAGTCTTCCTTCCCCACCTGATTGCTGCTCCATTTTCAATAGTTTCTGTTTAAGTTCTGGGATCTCTTGTGCTGCATTATCTAATCTGCTGTGAATCCTCTTCAGTAACATTTTGTTTTGTTTTTAAAGATTTGTTTCATTTATTTGAAAAGTAAAGGTAGAGAGAGAGAGAGAACAGAGAGAGAGAGAGTGAGAGAGAGAGAGAGAGGAAGGGGCAGAGATTTTACATGTGTTGGTTGTCTCCCAAATGACTGCAATGGCTAGGGCTGCATCAGACGAAGCCAGGAGAGCCAGGAGCTGCTTCTGGGATTCCCACGTGGGTGCAGGGGCCCAAGCACTTGGGCTATGCTCTGTTGCTTTCCCAGACGAATTAACAGGGTGCTGGATCGGAAGTGGAGCAACCAAGACTTAAACTGATGCCCATGTGGGATGCCTAAGTCTCAGGCAGTGACTTTACCTGCTACATCACAATGCCAGCCCCAGTATTTTTGTTTTGAAAATATAAGGTGTAGTTTTCATCTCTAGAATTTTGATTCTGTTCTATTTTTTCATCTTTGCTATTCTGTACTTAACTTGTTGTCTTTCATACATATTTTTGAACAATTGGGACACTGGTAATATAATACTGTGTTAAATTCTAGTATCAGCTCTGGAGTGGTTTTGATTCATTAATTTTCTCCCATAAATGAGTTGCATTTTCTAATTTTTTAATGACTGATTTTTATTTAAAGATTCATTTATTTATTTGAAAGTCAGAGTTACACACAGAGAGAAGGAAAGGCAGAGAGAGAGAGATCTTCCATCCGCTGGTTCACTCCCCAGTTGGCCACAATGGCTGGAGCTGTGCTGATCTGAAGCCAGGAGCCAGGAGCTTCTTCTGGGTCTCCCATGTGGGTGCAGGGGCCCAAGGACTTGGACCATCTTCCACTACTTTCCCAGGCTATAGCAGAGAGCTGGATTGGAAGTGGAGCAGCCAGCCGGGACTCGAACTGACATCCAGATTGGATGCTGGTGCTTCAGGCGGAGGATTAACCCACTGCGCCACTGCACCAGCCCTGCCCGATATTTTTGATTAGCTGCTATGCATTGTGATTTTTAACTTGCCAGGCGCTGGATATTTCTGTATTCTTATGAATACTTTTGGACTTCATTCCAGGATGTAGTTAACTGAAAGCACTTTGATACATTGCTTTCATTTTTATGACTTTTTAGTTAGGAATCATTTGTCCACTTAGTTTAGGGCTATTTATTCCCCACAAGTAAGACTTGACCCTTCTTAGTATTCTATATGATGAAATGAAATGAAATGAAATTGAGACATTGGCACTGTGGGCAATTAGGTAAGGGGCCCATGTCCCACCTTGTGGTACCTGGGTTTGGTTGCAGTTTGCTTGTTTGATTATAGTACCCAGCTGTGCTCCTGAGTCTAGATTCCTGCTAGTGTAGACCCTGGGAGGCAGCAGTGATGGCTCCATTGGTTGGGTTCCTGCCACCCACATGAGGGACCTAGATTGATTTTTTTTGGCTCCTGGCTTTGGTTTGGCCAACCCCTGGCTGTTGCAGTTTGAGGAGTCTTCCTATTTCTCACTGTGTCTCTGCCTCTCAAATAAATAAATAAAATAAAATAAGGTAAATAAAACAAATCTTTTCCTGTGCTGACACATGGCTAGCACCATGGTGTCAATCCTGGGTGTACATCAGGCACTGTTCCTTCTAATCCTTTTGGGTGGTTCTTGTCCCATCCTCAGCTGACTTTGGCTTGTGTGTGTATTGATCACTAGTTCTCTCTCTGTGCAGCTGTGTCCTCTCAAGTACCTTGTCCTGTGAACTCGACCCACAGTAGTCTCACAGACTCTCAACCTCATCTCTCAACTCCCAGAGATGTAGCCTAAAGGTCTTGCAGTGCAGTAGGCTGAAACTGTTTGAAGATAGTAAGGTGGGGCCTATGTAGGGCTTGCATCATTTTTTTCCCTTTTAGGCATTATTCTTTCTTCACTCTATGATGTATATGTCTTTTTTTAAAAAAAAATTATTAATTTGAAAGGCAGAGTTACAGAGAGGCAGAGAGACAGAGAGAGAGAAGTCTTCCATTCACTGGTTCACTCACCATTTGGCCGCGACAGCTGGAGCTGGGCTGATCCAAAGCCAAGAGCCAGGAGCTTTCTCTGGGTCTCCAACATGGGTGCAGGGGCCTAAGGATTTGTGACATCTTCTGCTTTTCTAGACCAAAGCAGAGAGCTGGATCGGAAATGGAGCAGCCAGGACTCGAACCGGTGCCCATATGGGATGCTGGCACTATAGGCGGCAGCTTTACTTGCTAAGCCATAGCACCTGCCCTGATGTATATGTCTTTAAAATAGTTTTCTCATATACTAAGATAATTTTGGTCCCTGTCACCCTGCTGCTCACACTTGGGCAGTAAAGAACTGAGCTGATGTCAATTTTGAGTTGTTTGAGTTTTGTACATCCACTCTTCACTCACCGTGAATGTATTTCAGGAATGTATTTCATTTACCAGTAAGGGAAAGCTCAATTTGTGTCCCCTCAGATGTCATGTAATTTTGCCTATTGCAGTTCTAATTGCTCACAGCAGGATTTTTAGTAGTGCCATTCAGGCAGGAATGAAAGTTCCTGGGCAGTACAGGTAGGTAAGATAGTGGCCAGAACTCCCAATGGGAGGTCTGATGGCTTCTTTCAGTGAAGTTGCAAAAGATAACCACTACCTTTCTGAAATTTCCCATTTCTATTCTAATAGTTTTTGCGAAGAGATCAAATTGTGTATTATTTGTGTCTAATAATGTTAGCCAAATAAATCAGTGATTCATATTAGTAATTGGGATTGCTTTTAACTGTTGATGGCAGTTAAAGCTGGTACAATTGTTAATTGAGTTGATTGTAGGTGAATGTAATTATGCACTAGCAATCATTAAATATTTTCTTAGAGTAGAGACTGCTTTATGAAGTAGTTTGAAGAAATGTTTATTTTCTGATTGTAAACAATTATTTTTAAGTGATTTTCCTAATGACTTGAAAATGCAGCATTTTGGTTTCATTAATCTTTGATCTTGTTAATGAAGGCTTGAAAAAATATGTGTACACACATATAACATTTGTACTGATATTATAAAACTCATTTAATTTTTAGTTCTTTGCATCAAATGAAACATTTAAATCTTTTGTATGGTTAATGACTTAATGTGAAGTACTATTTACTATCTTGTGTTAAATGCCATTATTTCTCAACCTACTAGTTTTGCGTGTGTGTGTGTGTGTGTGTGTGTAAAGATTTGTAAATGAGTTGTTTAGCATTTGTTCTGTTTCCACGGTTGTTTATAACATAATTAGTTTCTGTTCATCAGAATTATGTGCTGACTTTTATGATGATGTTGATTTAAATTTGCCCTATTTTAATGAATTGGTTCAATCTTATAGAATTGTTCTTTCTTCTTTTTAAAAGCCCATTTCATTAAAGAACTTTCATTAATAGAATTCACATAATTCATAGCAATTTAAGGAAAGATGAAAGTTTTTCTAATTTTTTCCCTAATTCTTAAGATAAACTCCTATTTTGATCTTTAGTTTCTTCTGTTATGAGAGTTCTGTCATAGCTCCTTTGAGAAGCAATGCTTTGGAGATGTTGGGCCTAATTTGCATGATTTATTTTCTATGCCCACAGGTGTTTCACTCTGTAGTATTTATGGTATAGGTTCAGGGAATGTCTGTGACATGTCTACCTGTTCTCCCTAATGCATTTATTTGACAGTTACAACTTTCTGGAGTGAACACCCTTCCTTCCTCTTTGGTGTGCATCAGACAATGCCTTATTTGGGCATAGACTAAGCCTCACAGATTGGCTTTCTTCTGAGTCACAAAAACAGGCAGTGTATTTACCCCCATACTATAATCCTGACTCCCTTTCCAGTAATGGGGACACTGGAATGAGATGGCAGTGCTCAGTGTGGGGTTTAGAGATCATTGTGTACTATATTTAGTTATAGACCCCTTGCACCTGCCCTCCCAGACAACTGAGAATCACTTGTTTGTTAATGTATATATATATAAAAGAAAATCAAAAGGAACTCACCTGGGACCAGAAATACACTGAATGGTTGCTAGACAGATCTAAAGCATGTGCAGGGTGGAGTGTGGGAACACAGGAGACAGAGGGCAGCCTTCTCCACACCCTGCCTTCCAGAAACCTCGCCTACCCACAAGGCCACTAAGCCATCCACATGTTCTATGTTTAAGCAGTCCACCAGCTTATGGGAGTGAATTCACTGCCTCTCATCGACATGAAATTAGACATACTTTTTTGGAGAGGGTAGAAAGATAATCCTTATCTTCTTTATGCTTGTGTGAAAACTGTTCAAAATGTCATGCTAATTGAGAAATGTTTCTCTGCAATTTCCATGTAATTAATTAGGGAACAGCACAAAAAGAGATTAAAAAAAAATACGCACTTCATGTAACCGTAAGCAAATCTGCAGAGCTCAGCCTAGACAAAATATTTTGCGACTTTTCACTGTATACAAAGATGCATAGGATGGAAGCTTGTTTTATCAAGGCAAAACATTTACATTTCTCCTAAGTTTGCATGATCATTTTCCAACCTTCAGCTGTGTATAAACCTCCCCTGATTTTTTAAAATTAAAATTGATTGTGGTTTTTATTTTATATACCAAAATATTTTTTTCCCTGGAACTCATAATTGGTTATGTGTTTTAGAAGTTCAAAATTAGTAGCAGTACAAGTATGTAAAGTATATGCTTAAATTTCATGGTACTGGATGGAACTTTTGCTCGAGAGTGTCTTCTGTTTTTTGTGATGTCATCACGCCTTTACCTGCAGTAAAGGAATTTCGAGATGCATCCAACTGCTTCATGCTTACGTTTTGTTAATGTGAGTATGTATTTGTAAGACTAAGATACATATCTGTATTTCTTTTAAAGTTGACTGTATAAACTAGCAATGCTTTTAGCCTGTAGTCAAGTATTCAGGAAAAGGACTTGTAACATTTCTCTTATGTCTTGGATACGTCATGTCTTAAACTTTCCATATAAGTTTAAGTACTTGGTTTGATGGCATAACATAGAAATCAAGCAGTTTGTAGCAGTATGAATTGTTGGCTCGTTACTCACTTTTATGTACTATTTTCCTTAATTGATGAAGTCTATCATTAGCAGCAGTGTCCTACTGAAGGAACAGCTTTAATTGCTCAAGCACGGACAAGAACAGGGAAGACACTCTCTTTTGCCATTCTCTTGATTGAAAGGCTCCAAAGAAATCAAGAACCAGTATAAAAAAAAAAAAGCCGCTCACCAAGGGATGTTTGGGCTCCAACAAGGGATGTGGCAAACCAAGTAGCCAAAGACTTCAAAGCTCTATCTAGAAAACTCAGTGCAGCATGTTTTTATGGTGGAACATCATATCAAAGCTAGATTACTCATATGCAAAATGATATTGACATCTTGGTTGGGATGCTTAGTTGCATCAAAGACCATTTGCAGAGCAGTCAGTTGGATCTTTCCAAGCTACACCATGTTGTGCTTGAAGAAGTGGATCAAATGTTAGATTAGGTTTTGCTGAGCAAGTTGAAGATTTTATCCAGGGATCCTACAAAACTGATTTTGAAGACAATCCTCAGACTTTACTTTCTTCTGAAACTTGCCCTATACAAAACTGCAAAAAAAATACGAAATTCAGATATGAACAGAATGACCTCATTGGAAAAATGACTCAAGAGGCTGCAACTACTGTGGAACATTTGGACATCCCTTGCCATTGGTTTCAGAGGCCAGCAGTTATTGGAGGTGTTCCTCAAGTGTACAGTGGGTCTGAAAGGAGACTTTTTCTGTGAGACCAGAAAGAATGTATCTGAAATGGCCATGAATCTGCACATGAAACAGAATGCCCAGTGTTTACATGGGGACATTGCACAGTCATGGAGAGAAATGACTCTGAAAGGCTTCAGAGAAGGTAATTTTAAATTCCGGTGGCAGCCAATGTGGCTGCCCACGGTTTGGACATTCCTGAGGTTGACCTGATGATTCCAAGTTCTCCTCCATGGGATGTTGAGTCCTATATCCATCACTGTGGATGCACAGGTAGAGCTAGCCAGACAGGGACGTGCATATGTTTTTATCAATGAAGAGAAAGAGGTCAACTAACTAAGATATGTGGAACAAAAAGCAAGAATTACTTTTAAACGGGTATGTTTTCCCTACTACAGTGGATTTAGTTAAGTCTAAAAGCATGAATGCCATCAGCTCTCTGGCTTCCATCTCTTAATACTGCTGTAGATTTTTTCCAACCGTCAGCTCAGAGATTGGTAAGAAGAGAAAGAGGCGAGTGAAGGCATTGGCTGCAGCCTTAGCCCATATTGCTGGTGCATCAAGCTTTGAACCAGGATCTTTGATCACTTCTGGTAAGGGGTCTGTGACTGTGACTCTGGAGAGCCCTGAAGAAATGCAGTAAGTCAGCTGGGAAGGAGCTTAATAGAAAGCTGGGTGGTAATGCTGTGTCCCGAGTTACCAGGATGTGCCTCCTGAAAGGAGATACGGGTGTTTGTTTTGATAATTCAGACTGGATACTCTCAGTACCAGCCAAATTACCTGAAACTGAATATTGTGATGGGAACACATTTTTAGATTTATTTATTTATTTGAAAGGCAGAGTTACAGGGAGGCAGAGGCAGAAGCAGAGAGAGAGAGACAGAGAGAGAGAGAGAGAGAGAGAGAATCTTCATCCACTGGTTCACCCCCCCAAATGGCCCAACCACTGGAGCTGAGCTGATCCGAAACCAGGAGCTTCTTCTGGATCTCCCAATCGGGTGCAGGGGCCCAAGGACCTGAGCCATCTTCCACTGCTTTCCCAGGCCATAGCAAAGAGCTGGATCAGAAGTGGAGCAGCCGGGGCTCAAACCGCCACCCATATGGGATGCTGGCACTGCAGATGGAGGCTTTACCAGCTATGCCACTGCACCGGGCCTGGGAACACATGTTCTAATTCAAGACAGAGGAGTGGCTGGTCAGGTAGTTGACCAGGTGGCTGGTCAAGCAGACAGAGGTGACAGGGGAGTTGGTCCGGAAGTTGATGGTGGGGGCCACAAAAGGGATTTGGACTGAGTATTTGATAATCTACCAGTGTGAGTTTGCCTATTTCTGCCTAATCATGTACATTATCCACCAAAAAATTCGGTCGTCATCGTTGAAGTATGTGTCTGCTATTTGCAAAGAAGTTGGTTGTATTTTTTTTTAAAGTATGTCACCAAGAATGGTTGTAAACAAATCTAGTTATCTAGTTATACCTTGGAATAAAAAAATAATTCCTTATTGTCTCTTTTAAGAAAAAGCATCTCGATGTGTTTGCCTTCAGACGGCAGTGCTGCTTTCCCTGGTGCATTAGTGGGGACCTGGATTGGAAGTGGAGCATTTGGGACTGGAACCAGTGCTCATAAGGGATCCCAGAGTTGCAGGTGGCAGCTTAACCTGCCAGCCCTGTGATTCAGGTTTCTGTGTCTAATAAGAAGCAGCCTCAATAATTCTGAGGAATGAGGGAAGATTATCCTGAGATTCTCAAAATTTAATTAAAAAATAATGTTTACAAAATACTCATCTGAATATTTTTGAGAAAAGTACTGCTTAAAAAAGAGTATTCTATATATTCCTTCTGTATTTAAGAAATAGATAATTATTTGTTATAAATGCCAGTTATTAATCACTTTGAAAAGGATTCTTCTAAAAAACTTTACTTAATCACTCCCCTTGACTTTCATTTAGATCACTAATTTTTAGCACATTTATAATGTAAGAAATATCTAGTCTAACTATAAATTATGAATTAAGTTGAATGAATTGATTATCCGTTTGTGATACAAGATGTGATAGGATATTAGCATTGTATGTTTTTCAGTACTGAATTCTAATGAGTGTTTACTGTATTTGTATTAATAAAGAGGCATTCACTGACCTTATTAAATAAATATTTATGGCGTGGTACACAACTAGAAATAAGTACAATAAAAATAATTATGATGTGGTAATTTTGTTTTGAGCTTCTTTCATTTTTTCCCCCAAAAGAAAGTTGAGAATGATATTTTGTTGTCTTTTCTATTTTGCAGGTATACTTTCTTGATTTTAAATCAGTACCTCTTGGTCAGAAAATGGAAAGCCTTATGTGGATTAGGGAGTTTGCAAAGGAAGTGAAAAAAAGAAATATTTTACTATGTGGGCTTCTTATATGTTACCCACAGGTAAGTAAATTCTCATACTTTCTGAATTGTTTGTTCTTTGAGCTGTAATTTTAGTGGTGAGAACCTTACTTTATTAAAGGTTAGGGATATTAATGATTTCTTAGAAAATTGCATACCTGGTTATATTCTGTAATCGATAGAACCTGTAGACTGCAAAGATAAAGGGAAAAAAGACATGTTTTAGGCAAAGATGTGAGTTGACAAATATCTCAAACTAGGCAGCCCAGGCAGAACTGCCAGAGTTAGTAAATAAAAATGTGCAGTTCCCATTTAAAATTGAATTTCAGACAAACAGTATGATTTGTAAGTGTGTTCCAAATTTGAAATTTAAATTTAAATTTCAAGTTTAACTGAATTCTTGTGTGTAACTGGCAGTTCCACCAGACTCTTAGCCAGGGAGATAATCTGAAATTGCTTACTTTTATGTTAAGAAATATGCGTAGTCTAGCACTTTCTTTCCCCTCATGTGTCATTTAGTCACTTGAAAGCAATGTCTGGCATTTAGATTATGAGAAGACTTGGAATTGGACTAGAGAAATATGTTTACTGTTACTGTCTCCGATAGCTGGAAGCTAGTTAAAGTGAAAGCAAAAAGAGCTCGTGTGCTAGACTCTTAGTGCAGAAAAATGGAACTCAAACCAAAGCATTTGGAAAATGCTCTACAGGATATGAGTTTGCCTTTTGTGCACCAGTAGCTTTCATCGGTAGCTTTATAGTTTCTTGGAAGTACTGTATGAGAGTTCCAGCATGTTGGTCAACTGCTTTGTTATTTTATTTTTAAGATTTGTAACAGTCAGCTATTTTTCTGATAGTGCAGAGTAAAAGTGATTCTGTACTGACTGTCTAGAGAATGACAGGTATTTAAAGTTCTCTGTGGGTGATGTGTGACAGCTGTTTTTGTGAAATGAAATAATTTGAATTTTTAGCTGTGTGCTAAAATTTGAAATCCAAAATTTGAAGCAATGGGACATGAGATATAAAGACCCTTGTTTAGCCTATCCTTTCGTTTCTTTACCTTTGAGATCATTTACTCTGCTTCCAAAATATGCAGCTGTGACTTCAGTTTGGTCATCAAGGAAAGAAAAATTTCAACTTTAACAGGATTATTGGATTGTATTGCTTTAGGGGTTGTTGAAGTCGGGATGGCCCAAGGAGGTGCATTTAATTGCCCAAGGATGGGTAGCTGGCATAGTAAGGGGAAAAACTCAGGTCAGAAGTATTTCCTCTTCAATAAATTTTCATTTCTTTTGGTTGTACACTGCATATTATCCTGGAAAAAATAAATGTTTATTTTCCTTACCTTGTGCAAAGGAGTTGTGGACATATACTACTAAAGCTATATTGTGCAGATATAAAATAATTTATTTAAGCAAATCTCCAAAAAACAGAGAGATTAGAGATCATGTACAATTCCCAGAACACTCAGTGTTTCATGACCTAGGCCAGGCAGGAAGGATCTGCATATACTGTAGCTGACTTTCCAATGAGAGAGCATTGCCAGATAAAGCATAGGATGCCTACATAAATGTGCATTTCAGATAAATAACAACTTCCAGAGGTAAATGTGCCTGCAACATGACATGGGGCATGCTTGCATTAAAAAAATCCTTTATTTGCAATTCACACTTACCAGGGCATCTTGGGTTTTACCTACTAAACCTGGAAATCTGAGTGTTCACTCTCCTGGTGTGCTGTGCTACTTATGGGATAGGTACAGTACATACCTGTGCAGCACTATGCCTGAGAAAGCTCCTTGACTGAACAAGTGCACCTGGAAAGCAGAGACCTGTAGAACCCATTACTTGGGATGAGACACATTTTTAGCTGCTGTCTGCTAAGCCAGATCCCTTCTAAAACTACTGGAAATTCAGAATCGCAGCATGTTAGCCCTTCAGGCTCTCTCTCTCAACATTAGAAGAAGACAGTATAGCTGACTTAATGTGTTGCTCTCTCTTCAAAATGCAGTAGTGAAGATGTCTCACTTAAGGGAGAATGTCTTAAATACAGAATGTGCTCTTGTCTGCAAAGACTCACGTGGGAGTTGACTCAATAACTTGATCTAGCGTCCAGTACAAAATGACATGAAACAGAACTTACCAAAAGACCCTCAGAGAAATCTCGGATATGCCATTAAAAAACTGAGGAACTGTCAATAAATAGAGATAACGGAACTTTTTAACAAAGGGCTTCTCGCAAGTCTTGAACATTCTAAGGAGCATTTATTTCCCATATCCAAACCAGGCAGGCACGAAGTAGGCCAGTTCCCATTTGCTTCCTATGGCCCTTTAACCTCATGGACAGCTCATGACTACTGTGTCCCCTGCAGGCAGCTTTGGGAACACTCCTCACACTGTGCCCTGGATTTCTGGGCATGGCCTTCCCTTGGCATAACCTTTTCTGTGTAGATATTTGGGTATCGGCAGCTTTGAGTGCTTACTTGCCAGACA